ATTTATTTATTTATTACTTTTATTTGATGTATTATTAATAAATGTTTATATCTATTACTTTTTTTTGGATCGTAATGAGATAAAAGTTTTTTTATTTCATAATTTATTATAGAATAATATAGAAATTTTTTCTCTATTTTACTTTTCTATTTGCATATTGATTGCTCTGAGATAGCGCGAAAAATATTTTCACATAAGTTCAAACAGTAGAATTTTTGTGTAAATTAAACGTTTTATTTTCAATGAAAACAGACGACACACATTTCACATTTCGACGACACGACACGAGTATTGTAATATTACTAGCACATTTCTATTTTATTTCCTCGCAAAACTATTTTATTAGTTCCATGAAATCATCACTCGAACTGTGATCATGTAGAAATACCTATTGTTATTTTTAATAGGTTATTCATATTTTTATGTAAGTATTCAATGTCAAATACCATAACTACTGACATTTTATGATATTCTAAAAAAAAGTATTATTATGTAATATATTACATCGAATAGAATAATATAGAAAAAAATAAAAGTTTTTTTATGTAAAAATTAATAAAAATAAATGGAAATAAATATTAATAAAATTATATCAAATATTTGAAAAGTTAACTCGTACACATTCAAAATATATTATAGCTTTAACTTCTTGTAATATCGAATAAAATAATTAAAATTAATGAATATTTGATATTAAAATATCAAAAATATTTATATTAAAATAAATAGTATCATAAATTGAAGATGCGAACAGTTTTATGATCATATATGTCAAACGCGAAGTCTTCGTTGCATCTAAGTAATCGAAGTGTGAGCGACGAGAAGAGAAATGGCAATAAAATATCTGCCATATACGAATCAACGAAGCGAGGTTAAAAAAAAAGAGGACGAGGTCATCGCCGACGCATTTCGCATCCTGCATAATTTATCAGTCGATCGATTTTGATCGTACTTTCGGTTCTTTTTGTTCTTTTATTTCATATATTCGACCTTATAGCGCGAAGGCGCATTCTTACATGTGACACGTGGCAATATATGACGCACGTGCTTGTTATATATAGATATAATATTATAGCTTTAATATTAACTATATTAGCTATAATATTATAGCTTTAATATTAACTGATACAATTAAACCGATATAACTAATCAAGACAATAGCTCGATTTTCATGGCGTAGAGAAAAAAACATCAAGGCTTAATTCATCTAAATATATTAGACACCATAATTTTGCAAGTTTTATTTATCTTTATAATTAGATCTAATTAATTAATTAAATTCCTATTTTTTAGTGTTTCAAAAATGTACATAATTTCTGAGATATTGTTATGTTAATTGAAATATGTAATGTTAATTGATAAACAATAATTAGTAATTGATAAGACGTAATATACATTATAGACAGAATATCTCTCTTACTAAAATGATAATAAAATAAAATCAATATACTATTGATTTTCAATTGAAACAATAAATTATTTTAATAATAATAATATTGATTTAACATATAGTTTTATAGCAAATTTTTCTAATAAAAAAAATTTATGTTAGCCAAAAGTTAACAAAAAAAATCTGTACATTTACATTTAAATTATCGCATTCAACTAAAATCAATAATCCATTTAAGAATTCAAGATTTAATTATATTACTCTTGTAATTTAATTAACAAGAAATTCCAAAGTGTAAATAAAAATGAATTATTCACATATTATTTGCTGTCATAAATATATTAAAATTATTCTAAGATAATAAATTATGCACGAATTTGTAATATATATCCGGTTATTTTAAATTAGAAAGTATGCTATTTCTTATATAGATAATACAAATCAATGTCAGTTTTCGCAATAAATTTTTTCACACGGGTGCATTGACTTGTGCGAGCTAATTACATCGGCTGGTCGGTGATTAATAATCGTATCGCATTGTTTATCATTCCTATAATCATCCCCACGACACAACGGCAACGATATTTCGTCCACAATCTTGCCGACACGACGCGAGAAGACGCCGTGAAGCGGCGGGCGTTGATTCATGACTCGTCTCGGTCCCGGAAGATATTAATTAATGATCGTGTTCACTTATACGTATATATACATGTACATATAATGGTAAAACGTGCAGTCGAATACGAACTTCTCAGGTCGTACCGTGAGGTCATCCTTAAGATATTTACACGTGCACCAACAGTCACTGTGCGAATGCGCCGGTAAATAACCTTCCGATGCATTTTGGTATTGGAATAAATTGACATATAAATTTCTTGTAGCAACTCTTTAATCATTGACTGATTGACGTCTGATTATATAAAGGAATTACCACTAAATTAATAACCGAAAATCTATTTTTTGGCTAATATTTAAAATAAATTTAAAATAAATTTATTTAAGAAAAGTTAAATAGCTATAAGCTATCGTGCAACACTTTTAATTTTAGTGTTTTGATTGTTATTTTCATATTTTATTAAGACAAAATCCGTATAGAATTAAAAAATAATTAGATCTTTAAATTAAATTTGTTGTATTTTATTTTTAATTATATATATTTCTATATAAAAATGTTTATATTTTAACTTTGATTTAGATATTATAAATTAGTGCAAGAATATACACATCTTTAGTTTATTAAAGTTTACTAAAAATTTTTATTAATATTCTCCATTAAATATAGATAGCATTATTTTAGAATTTTAGCAAGATGCATATTCATTTATACTTATTACTTCTTTTTATGCTTGTTTTATTTTTATTGTTTATTCATTTATATTGTTTATTCATTTATGTTGTTTGGCCTATTTTTGTATAAGGTTTATACTTACTAATGTCT